GAGTTCGCGTCAGCAAACGGTTGGCCAGATGCTTAACTGCAGCGAGATGCACCTCCGCTGATTCACCCCCAAGGGCCCATTTAGTAACAGCCAAATGAGAAAGGTCAAGAGCAGCTTCTGTGCTGGATTGCCCTGCCTGCCTGAACAACTCTCCTGGGAGACATGGAGAGCGGGATAAATCCACCTGCACGTATCCCAGATGGAAACATGTCAAGGAGGGGAACAAGATTCCAAATGAGCTGAGGTCACAGTGTACTTCTTTCTTCTGCCTCACTTTACTTCTTAATTCATGACATTAGTTCTTGACTCGTTGTAGAGGCAGAGGGGGTCCAGAAGCCTGACATGTAACAGGGGGATATCTGAAGCCTCCCATTTAGAATTACTATAGCTACATAGTAGTAAAGTACTGGAAGAAGTAACACGTGATGGTTCAGACAGCAAAAAAGAGTAGTTAATTTTGCTCATTTAGCTCTTGTCCCACTAAAGCTGAACATTTACTGAGGCTGACAGAGGAATGCAGAGGCCAATACGGTGCAGCTTTTAAAAACCCAAGAATTTAAAAAGCTTTTCCTTTGTACATTTAATATTCCTTGAATTATACATGTCAGTTTCCTAAACCCAAATCTCAGATTTTAAAAACTTTGCAGAACATCGGCATTTCTCCCCCCCAGAATGTTGTTTGAATTAATGAGAGGCATGCATGCCCACCGTAATTAAAAACAAAACAGCCACTCCAGATCAATGTATCTGGGCTACCAAATGTTTGAAACACCCCCTCTTTACCACACCTGCTTTTTATCAACCCAACACTGTGTTTCTGGTATCAATATAAAAAAAACCCCATCCAACTCAGAATGTCTTGAGGTAACATGAGTACAGAAATATGAGCACAACAAATCCGACCCTGCGCAGGAACTGGCAAAGAAAACAGAAACCAGCTTTTCCTTTCGTTCTCGAGGCGAGCTCCTCTGTGGCCGTGCCGCATCGTTTGCTCCTGCTGCAAGCCCCCCAGTCTCCATTTAATGCAGAGCATTGCGCACTAACACTTCCGCAGCGGCCGCTGTCATCTCTTTGTCAGCAGTGCAGCCCCCACGCTCCAGTTCAGCACGTACCTCATTTTAAATTTTTGACTAACGGCAGCCTTTTTCATAAGGCCCTTGAACAGGCAAAGACCCTCACCTCGAAGGAGGTGATACCATGAACAGAAGCGCCTTGCTGGCTTACCTGGAAGTTTAAGCTATTTGCCAGCTCGGAGCCTGGAAGAACAGAAGGTGCAAATGAAACAGCCTGCTAGCTAACATCACAAACACCTGGAAAACTGTGTTAGCAAGTTCCCTTGTTATTTCTGAAGAATATATCATTAATACTTTAAAAATAGCTTGACCTTACTACTGTTCTTCAATCTACTTTGTGAGGAACTCAGCTACAGAAACAGTTGGGATGCTAAGAACCATCCATAAATAATGCCCTATTTTCTTCTCTATCTAACATAAATATTTATGTGAAATCTACCAATTAAAGCGCTGTCTTGGTTTCATTGCTTGTGCTGGGGAGGTAGCAGTAGCTGAGCATTAGTCCAATTGCTATTCACATTAACGCCATCTGTCCCTGCACAGGGAGTTCAGCGGACATTCAGCAATAATTTGTCCCCCACTGGTGTTTGTTGTGGAAGCTGCTGAACAGAGTAGTTACCTACATGGATCAGACAAAGGTAATTTTGTTTAACAGGAAGGCCTTTCTGATTCTTCCAAAGAAAATGTCTATGAAGTAAAATTTCCATATGTGGGAAATAATTCATTAGTAATCAAAGGGAACAGGACAGTTATTATAAACGTATTCTTACTTAGTACATGTATCAAGTTATGAATTAGAGGATGCCATGTTGGTCCTGAAGAGCTTGCAAGAACCCTAGCTTGCCTGCTGTTGGAGTCAGAGCTCTGCTGTTGTACAGCCGCAAAGAGCCACTACACATAGCATCCTTAGAAGCTAGCAGTTGGCTTGCGCCCGATGCAAAGGCAATCGCTGGTTTTCAAGTTTGATGAGTCCTTAATTCTTGAGATTCCTAAAGACAGACTTAGCCTAATGCAGCGAAGCATGCCATCTTGGGAATAGATGATTGTTTACCAAATGGCTACCTGACCTCTTACTGAGACTTCCCTGCAACTGTGGATGTTCAACATCCACTTACATGGAGTACATTCAGTCACTGAGATCCCAGACTGGAAAAACATTCCATTTTGAGGTGGCATTCAACCACTTTTCTCCCACGGAAGCTGCTGAAATTTAAGCGAGTACTTGTCAGTAAGCACGGGCACAAATCCACTGTGACCAAGTGCATAAGTAGGCACAGAACAATCCTCCTACAGTCATGATTACTCCAAAGAAAGGCACTTCAAGGTGCTAATACATGTCTACTAAATAAAGAGCTCATCTAGATCAACCAACCTGTTAAAAATAACCCCAGTTATTTTAAGTTATTGAAGCTGCTCTTCACAGGACATCCACCACATACTGTAGGAAAGGTTCTCTATAATTAGCAGTGTGTTTTCTGGCCAGAGGAGAAAAGGTTTTCCTAAAAATGGAGTTGACCCTTTGGAAAAGCAGGTATATCCACAATCCTAAACAGAACCATGTGGACTTCAGGGCAATTGCCTGAAAAGCAATCACACTGTTTCTGCCAGCGGTGTGGCAGACTGCACTGCGCAGTATCACAGTGTGCATGTTTTTAATCAGAGCGCCGAGGCTGAAGGTAGGAACTGTCTAGTGTAGATGACGTGTATGAAAGGGTCAACAATTTTGTTTCAGACAATATCGGCCCTTTGAAAAGTTGCTCTGGACTGATATTTTGGCGAAGCTTTTGTCTCATTTATAAAATGAAAGAAGATTATTGGCATCTTACGAAAATGCTGTTTTCTCTCAAGGGTGTATGTTGAGGGCACAGTTACAAAAAAACATGACTGCTTTATAAGGGGAGACTTCAACATCCTTCAGTCTCTGACCTGGCAAAGAATATTCATTCTCTTCTGCTGCTGCTGCCACATGGCCAGCCACTGCTGCTGATGGAGGCTCACAAACCAGCAGGTCATTTCCTTCCCCTCAAAACACACCCCAGCTGTGGATCTGGATCTTTAATACTAGCCTTTCCACAGGTGGGAGTCTCATTCCACTCATAAAACAGTACTGAAAATGAAGCAGTTAATTTAAAATTATCACAATGGTAGAATTTATCAGTTCTGAGATTGTGATTGTCATGGAATTCAAAAGAGTAATGACTGGAGAAGCACAGCCAAGAAACATATTCAGGTACGTTAAACTCTGGACACCTTCCCCCTTTCCACCATGCTGATCCAGTATTTTTATCATGGAACCACAACGCACATAGAGAAGAAAAAAGGTGCTCTTTTTCAGATGCTTCTCCCATTGGAGTTGAAATTTTAATAGTAAATTAAATGGAATAAATGAAATAATTAGATATAGAGAAGAAGAGGAAGCACTGATAGGACTTTTTGTCTTTTTTGGCTGGAAAAGTTACTGCTTTTGATCTATGTGAAATATATCTAGGATCTAGACATGATTTATACATATTGTCCCCTGTCTGTATGAGCAAAGAACTTCCAGGAGGAGTAGCAGGAGAGAACACAAGCCTTTAGTAATGATTATTGCTCCATTTCTGGTTGACTAATCTAGTGGTCTTATACGGTGGAGTGATTGCATCAGCAGAAAAAGGAAGAGCTACATATGTCAACTATCTGGACTGTTGTAAGGCCTTCGGCATGGTCCCCCATAAAACCTTCTCTCTAAACTAGAGAGATATGAACTTGACAGACAGACTGTCCAGTGGATGAGGAATTGGCTGGATGGTGGCCCCTGATGAGTTACGGTCAATGGCTCAATGTCCAGCTGGAAACCACAAACCAGTGGTGTCCCTCAACAGTCCATACTAGGACCAATACTATTTAATACCGTCAGTAATGACAGTGGGAATAAGTGCACCCTCAGCAAGTTTGCTGACAACACCCAGCTGTGTGGCGCAGTTGACACACTGGAGGGAAGGAGGAGATGCCATCCAGAGGGACCTGGACATGCTGGAGAGGTGGGCCACTGCCAACCTCATGGAGTTCAACAAGGCCAAGTGCAAGGTCCTGCACCTGGGTCGGGGCAATCCCAAGCACAAGTACAGGCTGGGTGGAGAGTGGATCGAGAGCAGCCCTGAGGAGAAGGACTTGGGGGTACTGGTGGATGAAAAGCTGAACATGAACCAGCAGTGTGTGCTGGCAGCCCAGAAAGCCAACCGTAT